TTTTAGAAGCTCTCTTCAAAGCCATCTCTAGGGAAGATCTATTAACGTCTCTTGTTTTTAAAACACATCTTCCAGGCATCATGTTCTTAATTGGTCTTTTGTGTACAACAGATCCTTAAAAGGTCATTTCCATGATATTTGATTTATGAAATGCCTTAAAAAAGTATGCCATCTATTGGAGACCTATCATAGAATTTAAATTTATAAAAAAAAATTAAAACTTTTTTCTTTTCATGGAAGACTTTTAAAGATTTTCACCTCCTCTCCGGAAATATCTTCTCTCTCAATAGAAGAACTTTCAAAATCCTTTCCCTCGACAAGGTATTCCTTATTCCTTGGGTCTCTGTCTAGAGAAGATATCTTATTGGAGCCCTTTTTATGCAGAAGATCGTTACAGGGGCTTCTCTCTTTAGGATACCTTAAACCTGTTTTTTTTCTCTGCTCTAAGAGACTTTTTAGAAGAGTTTTCTTTAACGAAGTCCTTTAAACCGTATTCTCTATTGAGAATATGTTTATAAGGATTTCCCTCTATTCAGGGAAATTTTCCCACACATTCTCTTTATCAACAACCTTTGAAAGATCTTTTTGGAATGTAAAGCATTTTAAATACCTCCTATTGGATATTTGTATACACAAAATCATTGCAAAATATTTTCTCTTTTGAAAACCTTAAACCGGACTTCTGCATTTAAAAGATTTATCCTGTAGGAAGACCTTAAAAATTTTGGAGCTTCACTATAAAAGATTTTTTTCGCAATATAAAGCCTTATTTTTTAATAAAAACAAGTAGAAAAGCGGCAAGTTCGGTCGAGCCGAACTTTGAATACCATCCACCTTATGAAACGAATTTGGCAATTTTCAAAAAACTGAAATCCGTTAAAAATTCTGCTCAAATCTTAAAAATGCCGAATGTAACCGTTATATTAGGGTTTATACGACGACGTGAACCTGCATAGGCAACTGTTGTCATAAACTATGGAAAGCTTGAAAAAAAAATCGATGAATAATGTAGCTAAAATCTTCAAAATACCGAATATTGGGAGGTACCATGGGGGCTATACCAAAGCGTGGACCTGCACAGACACTTTTCTGTCATAGGCTGTATTATTCATTACGAACTTCAAATACCAATGAAACAATTTCGGTGAATAATGTCGCTTACGCGGTAAATGGGACTTTATGAAGACGTGGACTTACACCGACAATTTCCTATCATAGGCTCCAGTTTCTATTACGAACTTCGAATACCAAAATTTGAAGCAATCATCAAAATACCGAATATCAGTAGGTACCCTTAAATGAGGGCTATACGAAGACGTGGACCTGCATAGACAATTTTCTGTCATAGTCTGTGGTATCCATTACGAACTTCAAACACCAAGTTTGAAACAATTCCGTTGACTAATGTCACTAAAATAATAAAAATAAAGAATATCGGGAGGTACCTTTATATGAGGTCTATACCAAAACGTGGACCTACATGGCCACACAACACACATTTAAATAAAATTTTATCAATCTACTTCATTTCGTTCGCAAGCTAGAGTGATTTCCACAGACAGACGGACAGACATCGCTAAATCTACATAGAATTTTATGCTGATCAAGAATATATATATATACTTTGTGGTGTCTAAACCTAATATATCCTCCATACTATGATGGAGGGTATAAAAAAACATGTGTATGGAAGACCTTTAAAAGAACTTTTTTCTGAAGGATACCATTAATAGGTCAGAATATAGTTATAATGCCTTCTATCAGTATGAGTCCTTCAACACATTTTTGGTACCCTCCACCATACAATGGAGGGTGTATTAAATTTGTCATTGCGTTCCTCGAAATATTCGTCGGAGACCTCAAAAATATTTATATTCCTGATCCTTTTAAAGTGAAGATGTCCGCTGATTGTCGTTTGAAATCACGATAGAGTTCACATTTTTTAATCTAGACCTTTGAAATTTGGTTCGAAGATTTATGTAGGTACGTGGGCTCATTGTATTTAAAATGGGCTATATTAGTTCACGTTACATATAACGGTTCCACCCGATTTTCGGTATTTTGAAGGTTTTTGCCGCAATTTCCAACCAAATTGGATGAAACTTGACAATAGAGGTTATAGGTAGATCTGGTCTCTCCTTTTTTCTCTAGAGGTCCACTAATTGGTTAGCCCACATACAACGGTACCTCCTGATTTTCGTCATTTTTAAGATATCTGCCACACCTCCTAACGAAATTAGACGAAGCTAGATAGTTCGGGTTTTCAGTAGGTCTCTACAGACCGACTAATTGGTATAATTGGGGTTCCCGATAGGTCTGTTCTCTCTTAGCAAAAAGTGTTCGATTCAGGTCTACTAAATGGTATAGCCCCCATACAACGGTACCTCCCGATTTTCGGTATTTTGAAGGTATGTGCCATAATTCCCATGAAGCTTCCAATTGGGGTTCTTGAAAGGTTAACGTATTCTACTCTTTCTAATTATTTTATTTTACATGTTGATGGAGGGTATTAAACTTAAATCCAATCTCATTTCTATAGAAGACCTTCAAAAATTTTATTTTCTGAGGAGGACAATTTTAAATTAAACTTTTTTAGAATGCTCGCCAAACATCGCCTAAGAGACAAAAAAAAAAAAAAAAGATTTTAAAATGTCATTTGCTAAAGTAAGACTTTTTGAATGGTTTTTGTGCGCAGGAGACACCTAGAGGGTTTTCAATTTAAAGAAGATTTTCAAGAAACTTTTTTTATGTAGAAATCCTTTAAATGATTTTCGAAATGCTGGTCTTGACTTATCTTTTTTTTTGGATCTCCTTTCTGTATAATGCTATTGATAGGTGCCATAATTCCCACGGAAATAATCCCCACCACAATTATGGGGATTATGATCGTTTTTTTTCGGTCATAACCCCCTTAATGGAATGGAGATTATGTCCAAGAAAAAATCGGTTTTAATATCCAGAAATTAGCGGACATGATCCCCATCATAATGGGTGTGTTCAAACTAGTGTGCAAAAAAAATTGAGATTTTCCGCTCTGGGTATATCCGGCACCGGCTAACGCAAACCAAAATTTTCTAAACTTTAACTTTTTTATAAATTTTTAATTTGGTTCTCCTCTGGGAATATCAGGCTAATGCGAACCGAAGTTTTCTAAATTATAAACTTTTTGTAAGTAAACGGCCTTTGGCCGAGGTTTGAGATTTTCTCCTCTGAGTATGTCCAACAGCGACTAACGCGAACTAAAATTTTCAAAATTTATTTAATTTTGTAGAAGATGCCTTTGGAGACCTTCATAAGAGACCACGAAATGAGATTTTTCCGACTACGTTCAATATGTTATATCTAGGAGGTTCCCATCTTAAGAAGATCTTTGGGTGTACCGAAGGCCTTCATAGAAGTTCCTTTAAAATGTTATCTCCGCCCATCCTCCACGTTATTCATCAAGTCGCTACTTATCATTCGCTTTGCTTTTGTCATTTTTTTTGTCATTTAAATATCTTGATGGCTTTATTTGTCATGTAAACACTTGATAAACATTCGCGGAGAATGAGAAATCATCCACAATCTGCAACTTCTGTTTATAAAAAATAGCAAAAAGAACACAAAAATATTTCTTTGTTCTCTTCAACGCTGAATTCCATGGCTGATGATTTCACAACCAGGAATAACATTAAAGTGACAACTTTTGCAGACAGTCATTCATCAGGGTATGATGTAGAAGAATTCTTTATAAAAATTCAAGAATCCCAAAAAAGTAACCAAATAATCTACCATACTTCTGCAAAGACTTGGGAGTTAAGAACAGAATTTTGTGGAAAAAAAATTCAAAATAAAAAATCAAGTGGTCTTAATAATGAAACATTCACAGAATTTCTAAAGAGGTTTATCAAGTGAATATGACATTTTGCATTTTAATGGAATATGTCGGAATTGATGAGTGACTTTTCGGAATATTTTATTCTTTAAGGATATAAAATATTACCTACCTGACTTATACAAAAACATACAGTATATGCGAATCAAGTACCTTAAGTTTTTTCCTTTTTCCAGAAAATTGTAAAAATACATTTAAATTTTCTCATCATTGAAACTAATTTCTTTAAGGACAAGTCTTTCGGAACTACACAGAAAATACCTTATTTTTTTACTTTTCCAAGAAATTTTGAAAAAAAAAATTAAATTTCCCATCATTGAAAATAATTTCGGAAAATATTGTTTTTTTTTTCGTTTTCCCAACTCATATTTTCATTTTCCAACAATTTGTCGGTATCTTTTGATCAAATCAACGCTCATCAGCCATCCCGCGACAGCAGTTTGTTGTCATTGGTAAATTTCAATCGTCATTTCAATTCAATTCAATTATGTCCGCCTCGTTGAGAAAGTCATTAATTAAGCTGTGTAGTAATAGGACAAAATAAATTGTCAGCGTCATTGCTTAATGTTGATTGATTTTTCTTTTGATTTTCTGTTACGTTTTGTTTATCGTTGATTTGTCTCTTTGCCTCTCTGTGTCGCTCACTTCTGGTGAATTTTCCATATAAAATATCTAATAATTTCTACACTTACACATCCGGTGAATATTTACATACACACTTACGTGCCGGTGGGGATCGATGAATGAATGGGACATTGATTCGAAGCGTTTGTTCATTGGATGGCTGGTTGGGTTGACTGTCTAACTTGATTGGTGTATTTGTTGCTGTTTTGTCTGCCTGTTCGGCTGGCCGACTCTTTAGACACCCGCCGTCTTTCTTTGGTGACTCTTCCTTTTTGTCTTTGGCGGTCTCTTCGCTTTGAGACAATAACTTAAACGGAATATTAATGTTTGCTGTTTTTGGTTTTATGAAGGAAATTTGTCATTGTCTGTGAGGGTTATTGATTCCTTTTTTGTTTTTAATTTTTGTCACAATTTTTTTGTTTATTATTTTTTTATATTTTGAAAGCCTACTTGAATTGTAATAATAATTTTTTATATTATTTTTTTCTTTCTTTATTTTTAGAACAATGGTATCCAGAAGAAAAATACTCTCCCGTTCTAGAGATGATCTAAATTTGGATCAGACATTTAGTCCACAAGAAGAGGAGGAAGATGTTTGGTATCAAAAAGATAAATTATACAAAGTAAGTTTTGAAAAAAAAATTAAAATATTTTATATTGGATTAAAATTACCCTAAGGAAACATAAAGGCTTTGAAAACAAGCAAATATCTTAGGAAAAAAAGAGTCTGTGGACTATATATCTTCCAATATTTTAAATGCCTAAGTACCAAAAATTAAGCTTAAATCGCTAGTTTCCAAATTTTTCGTGGATTTGACTCGATTTATAAGCGAATAATGTCGCTAAAATCGTTATATGGGGCTATATGATAACTTAGACCTACATGGCCCATTTACGAACTTAACCTGCCTACTGGCAAAATATACACGTGTGCAAAATTTTGACTCGGTTTATAAGCGATTTTTTATTTTTCACGTTTTAAATCATTTTTTAAGGACCAGAAATTTGAAGAAAATCGGACAAAAAGCTCACTCTTGGGAGACATTTTTATATATATTTTTAGACCTTCAAGGGATAATCGACGATAAATTTGGTATTTCTAAATTTACGCTGGATCTAGCGAAAGCTGAAAAATTATGAAGCGAGCAAAATCGGGTAGACTTTTCCATCTTATATGAGCTCGGGTTTTTAAAAACGTTGACCCGCTCCTAAAGTAGATACAATGAAAGGTTTAACAAAATTCTGAAGCCTCCTAAATTTAAAAAATTTCTAAAAATTTTAAGTTATTGTGAAGAAATTACCAGAATATTGGACCGATGTGGGCCATCTCTAAAACTTGATATAAATTTGATAAACCATTTTTTATATACCAAGTTTGTGATTAACTTAATAAAATCTTGACATATTTTTTATGGAAACAGGATTTGAAGAATTAGAATCCTTTAAAAATGTCTGTATATAAATATCTCAGAACTACAGTCCTTTCTGCTTTAAATTTTTAATTTGACAACAGATTTGGGTGGTCTTGGATTCCTTTAAAAAAAACTCATGAGTTTAGTAAAATTTTGGCCTGTCCTGAAATGGTTTATAAACTTTGACTTGAATCCTTTTTTTTTGACTAGTCCTGGAATTCTTTAACAAATCAAACATTTATAGTACTTTATTGATTTTAAAAATCCAAGATTCCAAGACTTCTTTATCTACCAAAACCAACCTACTATTCTTAAAAAAAAAAAATCATTCACCCTAGAATCTTAAAAAAATATATTATTTTTAAATAGTTTGTGGTTTTAAAAAATCACAATTTGAATACTTATGTGGCCGGAGCTGGAATCTCTAGAAAATCAAAGTTTTTGATGTCTTTCTCGATGAAAACTAAATCTAGGATTTAAAAACCTGGAGCCATTAAAAAATTCAAAATCTTAAAATAAATGTTCATAGAATCCTGGTAGGACTCACGCTATCATTTCATTTTTGACGGTCCTGGAATCCTAAAAAAATCACTATTTTGAAGTCCTCTGATCTGTTTTGAAATCCTTAAAATTCGAGATTTCACGGCGTTTTTTAAATCCAGGAAAACTCTTAAAAATATTAATGATATTTATATCCTGATTTGCATTTAAATATTCATGGTTTTAAATCCTATTTTGCTGTAAAAGAAATGAATGACACATAAAATCCTAAAAAATCCTTTTTAAAATTCTTAAAATCATCTTAAAAAATCACAATTTGAATATGAAATTGGCCGGACCTGGAACACCTAATAAATCATCGATTTTGAGGCTTTTTTTGCTGAGAACCATATCTGCGATTTAAAACCTTAGAGCATTAAAAGTGTTTTCATCTTGGAAGAAATCATTGGGGTTCTTAGAATCGCTATAAACATCCCAATTTGAATTTCTTGAATCCTTAAAATAATCGAAGATATTAAAGTTTTCTGACCCGTCTTGACATATTTTAAAAATTCAAGACACTTATCCTTTTATGCTTTTAAAAATCCACGAATTGGTGACTTAGAATTATTTTTGAAAGAAGTTTTGGGTGGTCTTAGAGTACTTTTAAAATCGAGTTTTGAATTTCGTTACTGCCAGCCTCGGAACCCCTCAAAAAATATTTTAAGACTTCCTTTTTTGAATATTATCCATTTTTTAAAAACCTAGAATTCTATTAAAAGTTCACCTTTTGAAAGCTATTTTCTGTGGTTTAAAATCCTTAAAACTCACGATTCAAACTTTATTGTCAGCCCAGGAGTTCTTTAAAAAAAAACGAAATTTTAGTGCCATTTTTATAAATCCTGGAATCCTTAAAAATATACAGGAAAATCTAAGAATTAAATTTTTTTTATATTTTTAGTTTTTTTTTTATTTAAACAAAACGGACGAATGAAGACCCAGAAAACCTATGAAACTCATACTTTGAAATTAGTCCTTTTAAATTGAAGACTAAGCTTTTTTCACTTCAAACGAGATTTTCTCAAAACAGTTTTTAGTTGTCTCAATTTCCTACGAAAACCCCTATTTGACCGGAAATTTTTCAGACCAAAATGCAAATTTTAAGTGCGTTTCCTTTTAAAAAAAATCTAAAATATAAAATCTCTCTTTGCTTTAAATAAAGTCCATAAAATCTAAAATAAGTTTATCCTTAAAAGTAGTTGTGGGTAGTGTTCGAATTCTTCGAAAAAAGTTTGCTCTTAGAAATCGAAGATATAAATCCTTTGTTTTGCTCAAGAGAAATCTTAGGGATAAAATGCTCGGAATCCAATTGAAAATTAATATTTGCCTATTCCGAATAGTCTTCAAAAATCCACTACTTTCAATACTTTAACAAATATTATTTATTTATTTTTTGCTTCAAAGGAAATCCGTTAAAAAGTTCACTAGTTGAGGGTAGTGTAGGACCTTTTGAAAACTCTTGCCGACCATACCGAGTACCGTAAAAAAATATACGATTTGAAGTCCCTTTCTACTTTATCAAACTCCGCCATTTGAAGTAATACAATCCTTAAAAAATTCAATCCTTAAACAAATTTCAGTGGTCTTACATTCATTTTTAATGCTTTTTTGGTTAATCTCGTAATCCTTACCAAATTTTGGGAGCCACTTTTCAGTGGAATGCAGAATTTATTTCGTTGCAGGAAAATATACACGGGAGACTTCTTTCTACGAAAATGATCCAAATTCTCTGACATCTAATTTGTCTTATCAATACAAATTCATGCATAAGTATCATTTATAACCCAGCATGCCTGTTTAACCTGACATTAAAAATATGTTCTTACACTTCGTTTTAATTAGTCAGCTAATGAATAATATCATCACATCGTCATCGTCATCATCATCATGATCATCAGATTATTAATGGGATTTTCATATTGTGTTAATCGATGTAATTAATTTGTGGGCAACACCAAAGATAAACGCTGACAAAAGTTCTCGCTTCTACTTTATTTTCAAATGCTGGCAGCAATGAAACAAGAACTTTATGCGATGACGATGCTGCAACATCATCATCGCCCGATTAATGCACTCAGATTATTTACAACATGCCGGTAAATTTATTAAATTACTAATTCACTTATGAGTGAGCAATATAAAGCGATTGGGCATTAATAACAAATGATTAATCAACATAATTCATGGCCCCGTGGCGATATTTGGTAATTACAAGACGAAAAAAAATTGGCTGGAATATTTACATGGCATGGCAAAACGAAAGACTTAAGCAACAAACTTGCTGCGCCTTTTATGCAATCCCCAAACTAAAGGGCCTTCAAAGAGGCACACTTTTTATTGGTGTAACTACATTGTTTTTGCTTTCTTATTAAGTTGTATCATTTTATTTAATCAGCATTGTAATTTTTTTGACCAAAAAAAAAAAAAAAAAAAATTAATAAGTCTCTTTAACTTAGCATAGGAATTGCCAAGAGACAACAGTCAACAAATCATTGACCCATTTCCAGGGAACCAACTATTGTTACGTTGTTGAAAATAGTATTCTTGACACGAAAACTTTACACACCAGCCCAAGTAAAAATATCGAAACTAAAAACGCAATGCCTACGAATGTTGTTAGTAACGGCCTGCCATGGGTCTCCAATGTCCACCTCATAGTTAACATTTATGTGTCGCTGCAATATGTCCATATCAGTGTATGTGTGTATGTGTGTGGGTTGTCATGTGTGTGGCTAGTCTCCGTCCATTGTCCACAAGGCATGGCAGAAGCCAGTGACATTTAACATAACCATAAGCAATTGCATTAACTACCGTTAGCTTTATTGGCAGTCGTCGTTGTTGTTGTTGCTATTATTATTGATTGTCGCTGTTAAACTTAAAACTCAATATGAATATTGAGGATTATTTATGTTCACATTCATGGATTGACAATCAGTCGATGGCACTGCTGGCGTTGCGACAACACTGGTGATTGGTGCCACCACCAACGAGACCATGGATGACACCAGTAGGCAATTTGAGTTCTTTTTCGATTTTTGAAAAATATTTTTATTGTAGCAGGAATGAAAATAATACAAAATCTACGAACTTGACGAGGAATTGGCAATGTAAAACAAAAGTAAAGTATATTAAAATTTTATTGGATTGGTTTTCAATTATTTTAAAATTAATATTGGTTTTCAAGATTTCATATTCTCTCATCATTGGAGTATATACTTGAAGGCTCTAACGATTCATTGGTTTTGCTAATACAAGAAAACATAAGAAATATCGGAATATGAACTTCATTTTTTAAGATTCTCAAATCAGGAAAAAATTGTCAATTCGCGGATTTTTAAAGATTTTATAACCGCTCGAATATCCCTTAAATTGTGGATTTTTAAAAATTTTACAACCAGTCAAAAGCCTTCGAAGTCGCTGAATTTATAAAAGTCTAGAACCATTTAATATGACTTCCAAATCGTGGACCTAAAAAGATTTTAAAGATTTCATAACCTTTTCAAATTGTGGATTTTGCAAGATTTCATAACCATTTTAAATCGTGGATTTTTAAAGATATCAGAACCTTTTTAAATCGCGGATTTTTCAAGATTTCAGAACCTTTTTAAATCGTTGATTTTTAAATATTTTACATTTATTAAAAATGTTTTTTAAATAATAAACTTCAAAGA